GGGTGGGCACGTCCTCGGCGCTCATGCTGGCGTTGTGGCCTGACCGTCGCCAATCTTCGCCCCGGAGCTGGGCGCACCGTGGGGAGAGAGCCCGCGAGGACAGGGAGAGATGCAGCTGGCCATCTCTGATGCCCGCCCGGTCGCAGAAATCGCCAGGAGGACGGCCCGCCTGGAACACAGGGGGCTGCCCAGGGAGATGGGTCCGAGGGCTCAAGCACAATGGCGGCCGAGCCAAGACGGGGCTCTTTCGCCGAGCTGGTCGCACAGGCCACCCGCGCCGGGCAGGCCGAGCACCTGCCGCTCCTGGCTCGCGCCGGGGTGCGTAATCTCCAATGGTAGGCGGCCATGACGGCCTGGTGGCGGCGGGCCTGCCGCCGGAGGGTCTCGAGGCCATCATGGACGCTCCACTCCCCCGCCGAAACGGTGTCGACTCTGGCCTTGGTCGCGGCCGGCCCCGACAGGCCCGACCTACCGGCCAGGCGGGCGGAGGCGCGGGCGTCCCTGGCCGCCGCGGTTGAGGCGGTTCGCCCGGCCAACGTCAAGAGGGCCATCGCCGAGTTTCGGGGCGACATGCTGGCCAAGACGACTCGGGGGCCTTACGAGTCACGCCTCAAGACCTGGAACAGGCTCGCCTATGAGGGCGAGGTGGCGCCCTGGCCGATCTCGGCGCACGTCCTCGAGGTCATCTGGGCGGGCTTCAAGAAGGGCGCCTACCGCAGCGCAAGGAGTATTTCCTCGCCGCCTTCAGGCACCAGGAGAACGAGCTTCGCATCGCCGTCGACCCGCTCCTTCGGCGCCTGGCTAATCGGATCATCCGGTCCGTGGTGCGGGGCCTCCCGGGCTCGCGCCTGAAGGAGGCTTTCCCCGTACTCGCCCTGGTGCCGCTTCGCCTTCGCCGACGCCGAGCCCTTCGACATCTCCCGCCCGGCCCACTCGGTGGACGTCTACATCATCGCCGTCTGGTTCATGTTGCGCGAGATCCACGTCGCGGCCGCCCGGGTGGGCGACCTGGTCATCATGAGGGCGGAGGTCGTCTTGGACCTGCCCATCCACAAGACGGCGCAGGGCGGCGAAAGGACGCTCACCCGCAGGTCTCTCCATTGTGCCTGCGGGGCGACGACCCACCCGCTTTGCCCGCTGCATGCGGCACGCCGCCACTTGCGCCGGATGGACGCGGCCGGGTTGCTCGCGTCCTCGGCCCCCCTCTTCCCGGGCACGGGGGGGGGGACCAGGTCCAAGGAGGACTCGGTACACTTCCTCAACGCCGTCCTGCGGGCCGCCGGCCTGGTCACGACCTTCCTTGACCAGGCCGGGGCGGAGAAGAACATCTTCGACGGTCACGCCTGCCGGGTGGCGGGGGCCACCTTCCTGGCCGCCAAGGGCATCCCTCTGGCCGTCATCCAGCTGCTGGGCCGGTGGTCGTCAAGGGCCATCGAGCGGTATACGCAGGCTGCGCCATTGATGCTCGCGCCGGGGGCCGTGGCGCGCGCGCTGGGGTCCCACCTGGCGCCCGGAGCCTCGGGCTCGAGCAGGGCACCCGCCCGGCCGGTGTGGACGCAAGTGTCCTTGCCCTCGCGACCTGGTAGGCAAACTCACCCACAGGCATAGAGCAACGGGTGCAGAGTGGAATTTCTTCTCGATCGGAATCCACCTCGATCAGTGAGGTTGGCCTTCGCCAGCCGTTTCTTGATCGGCCGGTAGCTCAGCGCAGCCTGAAGCGACTCTGTGGAAAGCTTCTCACCCTGAGTGCCGGCGGGGGACGCCGGGCCCGACCATTATGCGTATCTCGCCAGGACGAGGCGAGTCCACAGAGCGGACGCCCAGGAGGCCATGGCTGATAGGGCCGCCTGGAGGGCGGCAGGGTGCGGCTGGCCCTATGGATGCCGCCAGTTCTTCCGGCTTTCGGCACCGCCGCCTGGCGCGGCGCTGTGTAAGCGCTGCTTCCCGGGCGAAGGGGTCGCCAAGCCCGGCTCTCAGTTCACGGCTCTTCGTCTGGCCAAAGCGCCGACGCGAGGAGGCGAGAGGATGCCTCTTCCACGTCGGGTGGGAATCGACCTCCGACTCCTGACTTGGGGCCTCGGGCCCTGGACGCCAAGGGGCGCGTCCGGAAAAGCCCAGATTTCGCACGCACTTAGAGGCGCGGAGGCTGACTGTCACGCTTTCTGTCGCCCCCCCCCCTCCCCCACCTGGCCTAGCCACGCCGGATATTTCACTGTCCCGTTGGTGGGGGTGGGCGACTTCGAGGACTTTAACGTCCGCGCCAGCCTCGCCGGGGCGGTCTACCACAACGACCGGAATGGGAGATGCTTCTCTCCTTAGCCCGTCAGAGGTGGCGGCCAACTACCTCAGGGTCATACGCCTGGACACCCTGCCGGAGTTTGCCGCCGTCGCCCGCGACGAGGACGAGTTCCTGGCGGTGTGCGTCCGGCCGTACGTCGAGGGCTGCCGATCGCCTGGGACGGGCTCGCTGCTCCGGTGCCCGGCCGAGACCGCCCGGCACGAGAGTTGGGCACTGACCAAAATGTGGCAGCATGCGCGCCGCCACATCGACTGGCTTCAGGAGGCTCCCAGGCCCGGGCAAAGGCCTGGGACAGGACTTGGGGCCTCGGTCGGATGCCCCGTCGCGCCTGGCACCCGGCATGGGAGCGGCCCAACTTCGACACGGGCGATGAGGACGAGGACCCGGCAGTGGCCGACGCCATCCTGCCGGAGCAGCTCGCCAGGATCTTGGGCCCTCGGCCTGTGACTCGGGAGCCGACCGAGATGGTTCCTTACGCCGAGCACGCGCCCGGGATCCATCGGCGGGACCCATACTATCTGGCGCGCCTGGGGCCCTGGTCGAGGGTGATCCATCGCCCGGCCCACCCTGACCTCGACGACGGGATCGCGGACTGCGGTCGCCGCGTCGAGCTACGCCGCACTGCGCCCCGCCGGCCGAGCAGGGCGGGCTGCCCTGGCGATGGTGCGTGGTCTGCTGGTGCGGCCGCAACCTCAGCCGGGCCGACGACGAGGAGGTCAGCGAGCTGGAGTGACGCCGGGCCGCGTCGCCGGGCGGCCGGCAAAGACCCGTGGCCGACCGGGCCGATTTTCCGAGAAGCCAGGGCGAGTTTAAAAGGCGTGACTCAGTTGCCGCTTTCGGCTGTGCCGGCTACTGCCTGCGACCGAGCCGCAGCCTTTTCTTGACTCCTTCTAGGTCCCTCCCCCCCCTCCCCTCCCCCGCCTGTTCCTCGGACTGGTCATGGCCGCGCCGTCGTCCTCGACCGCCGCCCTCGTCGACTTCCGCACCTTGCCTCTGAGGCTTGGGCCGGGGACGTCGTGGTGTCATATCTGGCTGCTCGCGGCCTGGCCCGCACAGCCACCCTCGCCCTGGTGGAGCCAAGCCAGGCGAGGTTCGAGGCGACCGTGGTCGACCCGCTCCTGGCTGGCTTTCGCGACACCGCCTCATTTGTGGTCCACGAGGGAGAGCGCCCGGCCGTCCGGGCGGTGCTGCTGCACATGTACCTGGAGGCCAGGACACAGTGGGAGGCCTGTCCGCCCAGAGGGCGGCGGCCATCGGGCCGATCCCGCCTCCGTCGCCTTCGGCGTCGGGTGGCCGCCGCAGGCCCGCCGCCCAAGTCCTTCGACGCCTGGGGGCCCCTGCTCAAGGCTTACAACGACAAGCTCCTTGATGGTAAGCCCAGGTCCTTTCCCACGAGGCGCCTGGCAGGGGCGGACGCGGTACTCGCCAGGATCTATCACGAGCACACCGTCTCAAGTCCTACACGCCGCTCCTGCTAGGCGAGATTTTGGCCGCCAGGACCTGGACTTCCGGGGACGAGCTCAATCGCCTGGCGGTCTACCAGAAGGAGGCCGGCTCCCTCCACCGTCGGGGGAAACCTGGTGGCGACGGACGACAAGAAGCCGTGGGAGCCCCGCGGCGTCATGTCTGTTTTGGACGGGCTCGAAGCGGTGCGCCTGGCTTGGATCCTGACCACGGTCGGCGACGAGGGCGACGCGCAAGGTCAGGGCCCGCACGGCCCACGTCGAGAACATCGTCGCCTACTGGACATCAACGGCTACCACCTTTGGCCATGGAACTTCGCCAGCGGCACACCTTCAAGGAGGTCACCGCCGACATATCATGGCGGACACCTCCGCCTGGTT